TTTTTATTTTTAATGAAGAAAGAAATGCAAATCAACAAATACTTATTTTTTAGGTACTATTTTCTATTTTGGTGGCCGCCAGTAGTGACCGGCAAATACCACTTACCCCATATTTTTCTCCACACTTCAAATACCTAGGATTGCTATTATGCATTCCTGGTCTGTGAGCTTTGGCTGAATTACAGAGTGCTCAATTATACGCTAATCGAATAGCTGCCCAATGCAGGCCACGTAATGACTTCCTGATTATCTGCCTTTAAATGATGAATGAAATGAATATGTAACATTCTGTTCAAATATAGCATACTTAGCATGCCAAATGAAAACTGATTTTGTGCTCCTCTCCCTGAAAAACGTATATTTTATTGTAATTCAGTTCAATGACTGTTTGGTTGCCTGTTTTCTAGTCATCAAGCTAAACACTGAATGAGCTATCTAGCAGAACATTAGTCTTCATTTTTGCTTCCCAACAGATGCTAAAGGTGTTAACTATTGTTTAGATTATCTGAATTCCTTTCCGTACATCATCTCATGGGGGAGAAAAAAAGGAATGACCATGTTTTATTCTTAACATTTGTTGCAAATATTTCTGTTACTGGGGACAAAAATCTTTTTCCTCAAACCGAAGAACACAAACATACTGTCATGTGTGTGTCACAAAGATAGTACTATGATAAGTACAAGGTTTTTATTGTGTCAAGTGTTTTTGATAAAACATAATATTTTATTTTATGTGAGCATTAAAAAAGGCCTCTGATTTCAAAGGTAATTGTATATCTCATCTGCAATTATAGTATCCATAGCTATCAGAGATTCTTATGTTATATTTTACCTTGAGTTTCACTCCATATAATAACTTAAAAGGTAATCTCAAGAGATTATATAGAGAAATTTATTGTATATAATATTAAGACTTACTAGAGAGACAATAGACAGTAAGCAAAGAACAACAGAAGGCAAGAGGATGCTGCTATAGACGTACATACACATATAATACTATATGTGTATACATGTGTGTGTATATGTACACACACATAAACCTGCACATACACATATATGAGTTCCAAAATTAAAGACATTTTATACAAAGAAGAAAATACAAATCAACAAACTCTTAGTTTTTAAATATTTTCTTTTATTCCGGTGGTTAGTATCGACCAGCAAGCACCATTTATCCCATAATTTTCTCCACACTTCAAATTCCTAGAGTGGCTATTATACAAATATAAATAAATATATATATATATATATATATATATACATATGTATATACACGTACAAGATTGGCTTTTAATGCTTCCCTAGGTACAAAGAAGAGTCTGTTGTTGCTAGCACTCTCTGAAATATTCGGTTTATATTTTCTTTCTAAAAGGAATATTTGAAATAACCAAGAAAACATTTAAAACTGTGGTATTGTTTCAAGAAGTTAATTGTTTTCCATTTTCCTTACAATCACATTTTAACCTTCAACTTTCTGTGCTCCTTCCCCCTTCCTAATGATCCTTCTTACTGTACTTATCCTTCCTCTATTTTCCAGGGTGTGTGTGTTGTTTTGTTTATTTGTTTGTTTGCTTTACTCTTCTTTTATATGCCTTATTTATTTAGTGCTGTAATATATGACCTGGCCCTCTGATAAATAAATCCACCTCTGTAATACACACACACACACACACACACACACACACACACACAAATTTAGAGACATTAAATTAGTTATAACTACTTTCTCAGTCCTTATGCATGTAATGGCACATTTTGTGTGTAATATATTTACACATATTTACTAATATATGTACATGTAATGTGTACTTTAATATAATTTTACTTTGATAACTAGACTGTCTCCTAATAGTGTCTACATTTTGTTTGTTTCATGACAGTCTGGCAGGTTTTTTCCAGTGGTCTAAGAAGGCATAAAAACTCAGAATTCTCATATCTAGAATTTTATAACATAGCAATGTACCTTCAAAATAAATGGGTGTTTTTATATTGAAAGTAGGACCAGGATTATGTGACAGAGTTTAGTGATGCCATGCTTTAAGATTAGAGTTAATATAGAAGGCCTAAGGGTACAATCATTGCCATAATGAAACAGATAGATTATTTAATTGTATTTCAAATCTCAAGATTATCCATGTCCTTCCTGAATGCCAAACCTCTTCTCAGTTTCATTTGCCCGGTTTGAGGAGCTGTTTTGTCTGTATTGTCATTGTATTCATAGACATCTGCTGTCTCAATTATGACCGATGAGGTTCATGTGCTACTGGCCCAAAAGAAGCCCTTCTTTTTCTTTTGATTCCACAGGACCAAACCTCAGGTTCCACCCAAGAATCTGGGCTCTTGATTCTCGAGGTCTATTACCTTCCAAGTCAAATCTCTATAACTCAGTGAGTGCCCACTGTGAAATTTTAGTTTTTATTCACAGATATCTCTGGCTTCTGTGTATAAAAACACATCCATGACTCTAAGATAATCTTTGGATTGGACACATATTCATCCATTTTAGTAAAACTAAATGGAAGGGAAACTTAAACAATTCACTTCAAAGCAACATTCAACTGGACACTTGTCACAAAGATCTGAAACTCCTATAATAGGAAAGTATCACCTAAATGGAGGGGTCTCTTTAACAGACACTAATAATATGAAAAAAAACACTTGGTTGCTATTTGTCATCTCACATAGTCTGTCAAATTTGTTGGCTCCAGCAAAGATAACTGCCTAGTGTCCACTACATGGATGGCCCTCTTTACTCTTTTTCTTAACCATGCCCTCAAAGGTAGGTTTGCCCCTTGCAGAAGTGAGTGCATCAGCTGACAGTATGACTATTACTGCCACCTCATGCTCCTCAGCATGGCATCCTTGTTGTTAGAAAGACTCACCACCTCCAGTCCCTCCCAGCCTCCACTCTTCATACCTGTCACTCTGAAGATGCTGCTTTCTGTGTTGTTAATGGATTCACTGGGCCAGCCAAGCCTGGAATTTAGTTGTGCCTTTGGGGGGCAATTGGAAATGGTGTGCAGTGACTCTGGGGATTCTCTCTTTAGGTTAATGAAGTGGCATCCATATTATGATGAACCAATGAATTAAGATAATCGAACGAGAAGCTTATTAAACTTCTGCTTTTATTGAAAGAACATTGGTGGCAAGGCTCCCCACAGCTCCATGCTTGGCTGGGTATTTTGTGTGTTATTTGTTCCCTGACATTATCATTTTGTTCTCTATGAAGGTTTCTCTGATAATACAAGTTTTAAACATGGTACATTGAGAAATATTATTCTGACATATCAATTAGTGCACCATTATCTAAATTTTACTTTTAGTAAGCACTAGATAAAATCTGTTCAGAGCACTTGGGAGGTAGGAAGTACCACAGTGTAACTGTGATAGCTATGATTTTGTTATTAATGTTTTCTGTCACTCTTACATGGTAGATGAAGAACTTAATCTTCACTGAAATTAACTTATTAAAGAATTTCCAACTAAGATAAGCTTGTATTCATTTATGAATAAAAGATATGTAGTATATACATATAGTGGAATTTTGTTTCTTTATAGAGGAACAAAAAAAAACCCCTCATGATATTGGAGGAAGAGTGGATAGAACCAGAAGGTACTGTGTTATGTAAAAGAACCCAGACTTGTAAAAAGACCTATGTTTCCTCTCATATGTTGAGCCCCAATTTAAAATGTGCGTTGGCCGTCATTCGGAAAAGCAGATAAAAGCACAGAAGCAGAAGGGGAGCTTATGGGAAGGGAAAGCAGGGAGGCAGAGAGTAGACAGAAGGTCTAGGGTGGAGTTAAATGAAAGAGTTGGAGAAATTAGAAGAGCATATTATCAGATACAGACGAGGATGAAAAGTAATAAACTGATTACTTTGTAAGGTAACTTTAAAATGAATAGTTAAAAAATCAGTTAAAATGACAGGCCCAAGGTTTGAATTAATTGCTTAATCCCTGGCTTGTCAAAACATTTTCTTTCAATGTTACCACTGGGGAGTTGGATCGTGCAGTGTCCTGTGGCCCTCACGTCTTTTGTTGCATTCCTTGATTTATCAATATTGCACTATGTCTGTTTTCCTCCACCTCTCCACCTATTTCTTTCCAGCATGCATTCTAGTTGTTACCCTTTGCTTCTCGCCTCAGTGTCTCCTAGGGATGGGGGTGAGGCAAAACCTGGGAACCTTCGCCAGTGTCTAGGTACCTGGAATGCAGTCCTGAAGGAGCTCCATCCTTCCTTCTTTTTATGATCAGCCCCCTACATCTCCAAGAGGGTCTCTTCAAATTTGAGCCCTGGGAGCTTGTTTACTTCACTCTGGCAAAGATACTGGAAGAAATACCCAGCTGTTTCTGCTAGATCCAGTTCTTTTCTGTCATTCTTAGATTCTAGGGGATTCTTTGTTACTTTGCCTTAATAAATGGGCCTTACCTGGTGGCCCTGCTGGAATTCTCTGTGGCATGATAACAAGTTTAAAATCAGACAATGTTCTGGTAGAGGCCAGGTGTTCAAAGTATAGTAAACAGCTCCCTAAAGATTAGAAAATGAATATTTAACCAGACGACTACATTTGATTTCCTTCATTCATTTTTTATTATTTCAGTGAAAACCTTTTTGATGGAAATCTCATTGACAGGGTTTTAATATCTTCTGGTAAACGAAAGCTGTCACTCCAGTGGGGTTAGTATTTCTTTACAGTGACATTTGGTAAACCCTGGTGGCCAGTCAGTATTTCATAGTTACAATTTAGGCAGTCCTGTAAAGACGGTAAACATCGAGGAACATAATTTGTCCTAAAAGGTTGATAATTATGACGAAACTGGTTATGTTAACTATGCTTTGTTCATAATGAGCTGGATGGCTGTTTTTTGAAGAAGAAGAAGAAGAAGAAGAAGAAGAAGAAGAAGAAGAAGAAGA